ACCCCCATTCTGCGTCAACCAGCTACCTGAGGGGGGCCGCCCGTGCGCAACCCAAAGCCCGACCACCTCGCGTTGCCCCCGATGTTGGCGACGCGCAGAGGGGGGGTAGGGGGAGGGGGGAAGGCTTCTTAGAAGGAGGCTGCTTCTTAGAAGGCGCCGGCCTTACATTTGTAGACAAGGCCCGCGCCTTCTAAGAAGCAGTGGTGCTTCTAAGAAGCCTTCCCCCCTTCCCATACCCCCCTGTGCGCGCCGCCCCCGATGATCCCCAGCCCCCTCCCGAACTCTGGCCCCCCCTGCGGCCTCCGCCGCCCATGCTCGCGATCGCGGCGCCGCCGCACAGGATCTGGGCGCCGGCCCCGGAGCCGCCCCCGAACTCGAGGGGCCGCCCAGCGGCGCCCCCCAGCGCGCCGCGGCGCCCCCGCTGCCGGGCCACCTCGGCCTTAGTCGCCGCTCGTCGTCGACGTCGCCGTCGTAGCGTCTCGCCGTTCTCGTCGCCCTCGCCATCCCGACCCCTTCCCTGGGGCCAGTTTTTCTGCGCGGGGCAATTTTTCAGTGTCCTGGGGCACGAACTACGGGCATGGGTGGAGGCCAATTGGGGCGCTCCACACCTCCGACGATTTGCGTTTTTTGCCATCGCGGCGTCTTGCTCCTTCATCTCTCGGCCCTCAGAAGCTGCTCTCGGGCCCTCAGGACTCACAAAACTCGGTGCGGGGCCAGAGACTACCCCGGGGGGAGCGCCTTCGGGCTTTCCTCCTCCTCCTCCTCCTCCTCCTCCTCCTCCTCCTCCTCCTCCTCGTCATTACCATCATCATCATCATCATCATCATCATCATCATCATCATCATCATCATCATCATCATCAGCAGCAGCAGCAGCATCATCAGCAGCAGCATCATCATCTTCATCATCAGCAGCATCATCATCAACATGATCATAATCATCATCATCCTCATCATCATCATCATCATCAGCATCACCTTCATCATCATCATCATCATCATCATCATCATCATCATCATCATCATCATCATCATCATGATCATCATCATCGTCATCATCAGCAGCAGCAGCAGCATCCTGGTCCTCCTCCTCCTCCTCCTCCTCCTCCTCCTCCTCCTTCGCCTCCTCCTCCTCCTCCTCGCTCCCCCTCCTCCTCCTCCTCCTCCTCCTCCTCCTCCTCCTCCTCCTCCTCCTCCCTCCCTCCCCCTCCTCCTCGACTGCTCCCCCCCCCCTCCTCCTCCCTCCTCGTCCTCCTCCTCCTCCTTCTCCTCCTCCTCCTCCTCCTCCTCGCTCCCCCTCCTCCTCCTCCTCCTCCTCCTCCTCCTCTCCTCCTCCTCCTCCTCCTCCCCTCCTCCTCCTCCTCCTCCTCCTCCTCCTCCTCCTCCTCCTCCTCCTCGACACACCGCAATCTGGGGAAAACTGCCGGATTGAAAAATCGCACATCGCCGCAGGTCTGCGCGGCTCGCTTCCACGACGCCCTCGGGGCCTCCAAAGGGCTCCAGCCGAGCGCCCCAGTCCGCCGCGGGGTTGGCTCCGCCGCACCCCGCTCCAGCGACTCGGCGAGGTAGCCCCCGAGGCCGTCCAGAGACACGAGGCCCCCGAGGCCGCGCCGGCACTCCTCGAGCTGCTCGGCGGTGCAGTTGGCCACCTCCAGCGTGCGCCGAAGACCCAGACCCCCTCCCAGCTCCCGGCGTGCCCACAAAGGACGTACGCGCCCAGCTATGTACATGAACACGGCCCCTCGATCCGCGAGACCTGCCGCGTTATGCGAACATTTGCGCTATGCGTACTCTCGAAACCAGCATGGATTCATGTACGTGTACGTCCTTTTGTCGCTCCCGGCGTTTGCCTTGAGTTCCCAGTCCCGGGTCCCTCGACCGAGCCGCGGCGCGCGTCGTGAGAGCATCGCGGCGGGCAGCTGTCTGTGGGGCAGTGTTCGGCCCCCGGGGCCCCTCTCGCCCGGCATCGAGGCCGGCCGAAAGCTACCCCGGGTGGGAAGCCGGTCCCCGGGAAGGGGTGGAGACGCCCATGGGGGTCCACGCTGTGAAAATTACTCACTGCGTGGAGATCCCCATGTGTGCATCTGTTTTAAAGGATCATTGTCAGTGGGATCTGGAAATGCGCGTCTAGCCATGCAACGCAACACGCGAATATCATGTTGTAAAAGTGTAGGCTTGTGCCAAGGCGAGCGTCTATCAGTGATATATTGTGTTTCGGTGCGCGTCCATGCGAGCGACAAGCGCCCAGGGGTCCACGCTGTGAAAAAAAACAAGACGTCGAGAGTCTGGGGAAGGTGGCCGGCGTTACCGCATCATGGCCCCAGGCAGGTGCGCGGAGGAAGGCGAGCCAAGGGATGTGTTCAACGAAATCTGGGAGATTCCGTGACCCCGGCCATGATATCCACACGCACACAGACACACACACACACACACAAGTACCACCGCCCTCTCCGACGCCCGCGAACTGCAGCGCAGAAAGAGTAGAAGTCCGCCAGCACAGCGAGCGAAAGGCGTGCTAGAATCCGCGCGAGGTGACTAACGGTGTACAGTTGGACCCAGGCCAGAAGAACATTCCTCCAGAACATGGGACCCTTCGTCGGCCAAAATACGCAGAACATCCAAGGGTACCCTCGCCAGGATGTACAAGGATGTCCAACAAGCACGAAGAACATGAGGGTACCCTCCCCGAACCGACCTCGATCTTGTACATCGGCCCGACTGTATCTGGTTCGCGCGCGCGGGGAGGCCCCTGGAGGTCCCCTGGCGAAAAGTACGCTGGCGGGTCAAGGTCAGAATGGGTATGCCTCCTGGGCGCCGCCTGGAGGGCCCCCCAAAGCGATCCAGGAGCGCCCCACCCAAGGGGCCTCCAACGGAGCCCAGGAGGGTCCGAGACGGCCCAGGAGCGCCCCGAGACGCCGACGATTGCCTCCTGACGGCCCAACGAGGCTTCCAAAAAGTTCAGGGGCGCCCCCCCTCCCTCAAAAAAACAAGAAGCAAGATTCCACGATCTTCCTTGCAGGATTTCAACGTTCTTGCTTTTTCTGGGCTTCCAACGCTCGAAGGATGCCCAAGAGGCCCCGAATATCGTCCCAAACTGAACCAAGAGCCCCCCCCCACCCCCCAACACAACCCAAGAGAATCCCAAAACGGCCCCCCCCCCCCCAAAAAAAAAAACAAAAGGCCCCCAAGACGGCCCGAGAGAGCGCCACGAGAAGTCCCCAAAACGACCCTCGAGACCGCCAGCAAGCCACCGAGAGACCCCAAGAGGCAGCAAAAGGCTCCAGAGAGGCCCCAGAGAGGCCCACAGGAGGCCCCAAAGAGGCCCCAATGGGGTTCCACGAAGGTCCCTTGAAGCCCCCAAAGGATGCCCCCAAATGTTCTTCAAGACTCCCGAGAGGCATCCCAAGACACCCCAATATGCATCCACAAGCCCTTTGACCCACAACCCAGGCACGGTAGCGGGATGGGCCTGCATTTTTCTCCATGCTCATACGTTCTCCTCACGATGCGCGGGCGGAAAGCCCATACGAGCCCCCAAGATGCGCCCCCTCCTCCTCGTCCTGCTTCGCCGCACTCTCCTCATCGCTTACCTCTTCCTCCCCCGAAGCTCCCCCGAAAGTGTTGCCCCGCGGCGGAAGGAGCGGCTGCCCCTCCTCAGCGCGGGCTTCACGCAACCATTCGCGCAAACGATCACCGCTCGACGATGTCCGGACCGCCACGGCCACGCAGCGCATAACAACGACGACACCCCACGGGCCGGCGGCACGAGCGAAGCGACTGCATGATGCGCCGCCGTGGGAAGCCCATCAGCGCGGTTTTGAAACACCCGGCCTGCGGGCAAAAGCGAAGAGGGCACACGCGGACGGGCTCCTCCCAATGGCGGCGCGTCACTGATGCGGCTGCCCCGAAAATCCGATGTTTCGATTTTTCATTACGAGGTCCAATCAGGAGCGTCCAAGAGGGGGGCGTCCAAGAGGGGGGGCGCCAATCATGGATGGCGGCACGTGCGCGGCCCAGGGGGGGTCCAGGGACGTGCTGAAATAAGGAGAGCCGCCATGAAATCTGGGGAGATGTGA